CCATCATCATATGTTCCTCAAGCTCTTCTATTTCTAGGGTTACTTCCTCACTATAAAATAAATAAACTGGAGCAATATCAGTAGCACAAGAATAAAAATTCAAATCAGTATTTCAATTTTCATGATTTTGGTGATACTTCTTTGTGACGATTTGTTTTGAGAAAAATAATATTATGTAATGAAGTGAAAGAGTAATTAACCCAAGTTGGGACTTTTGATTATGATTTTCATAAACATTAAAATTTTTAGGGCAATTTACTTGATTGATTCTTTCATTCATCAAGGATTCACTCAAAGAGATTAAGTATTTGAAAATTAGTTAAATCAATCATCAGATTATTTTGTATTAAGGTTTCATAGCTAATTCAGTTGGAGAGAGAGATTTAAGAGATTTAAGTGGCAAAATAATTTTAAACACGATAAGATTTAAGATATAATATAAATAGCATATGACTCTAAGCCAAATTTTAATAGAAATTAAAGTACTTAAATTTTGAATCCTTGAAAAATACTTGACCAAAAGTGCTTTGTTTCAAAGCAATTTTTAATAACATACTTGCAATTTAGAAAAGTAAAGTATAAGGCACTCTTTAAAAAATGCTTAAATCGGGTGATTCGGATATGGTGAAGAATAATAATGAACTTCTAATAAGATCATAATGCCTTGTTTCAGTGGTTAAAATAAGTGATCATAAATTACAGATTCTTACTGCCTTTAGATTAATGTTTAGTATATTTTGATCTTCTTTTTGATAAAGTTATCCAAAATTAGCTGAAATTTGCAAGTTTAAAACTATAACTAAATTCTAAATTATTAATAAAAAATGTCTCAGTATGCTCTTTTATTTGAAAAATATGAAAGGGCTTTAGAATAAAAGGTAAAAAGAGGCTTAAAATGTAAGAATTAAAATGTAGAATAAATTAAATGGCTTTAAGTAAAAATAAGGACTAAAAGTCCCGCTCTAGAAGTTTGATAAAATGTGATAAATGTAATAGTAAAAGTAAAGCAAAAATATACAAATCAATTAAATAATTAAATGTATAGGAGTATAAAATTCTTAAGTCAGAAATATAATTTCAATCGAAGAATTTCAAAATTCTTGAAGAATAGGAAAAGCAAAATAAACTCAATAATTTAATAAAATAAAAATTTAAAAATCAAGATGTTCTTTCATTTAATAAAAATTTACATTAATCTGCATGAACTAATTATAGGCTTTTTAATTTAGTTTAGTACAAGATTAATCTACAACCACAAGTTGTAGAATGAAAATGTATGAAAAA